GATTAACCTGAACTATATAGCGAGTACGGAGAAAACAATACAGTTGCTACATAAGCAGTAGAGCTGAGAACGCAGTGATTAAAACACAACCCCACATATTAATGTACATAGCCTATGTAGTAATGTTACGTAACATTAACCAGTACCCGTACATTTTCCACCACATTTTAGCTGACTATCCGTTACTATCATTGACCGTCATAACAGCGGCACAAGCCATTCTTCTGTTGTTGTTTTATACAATAATGACATAATATAGTATTAAACAAAAGCCTGATAATTAAATGTCTAAACTGCAATGAAATGTAGGTAGTATTAGACATAATAATAATAATAATAATAATAATAATAATAATAATAATAATAATAATAATAATAATAATAATAATAATAATAATAATTACATAATAATAACATAATAATAATAATTATTATTATGTTATTATTATTATTATTATTATTATTATTATTATTATTATTATTATTATTATTATTATTATTATTATTATTATTATCATTATTATTATTATTACACACACAGCATTTTTCACAGAAACATGAATTGTCAGGACCATCCGGCAGTCAGCCAATCAGAGCTCCTTCTGTGTGAATATTCATGAGCGGGTGCAATACCCAAAACCAGCTGTATGAGCGCTGTTCTGACACACAGAAAATACACAATTTCTGGGTTTTGTGTATAAAAAGGTCTTTTTTTTTTTTTTGGGTATTTAAGCTTTCTACACCTATAGAAACACTTCTACGCTTTTAGAATTTGTATTTATTAGCAGGACACCGACCCTGTCCTGTTAATACAAAATGTCTGGCTAATGTCGGTGTGTATTCATACCAAAAGTCCTCTTAATTAACAAAGGTGCACACACACACACACACACACACACACACATACACTCACCTGAGGCCTGTACTACGAAGCTGGTTCAACCTAACCTGGATATGTTTGAGTTAGCCAGTTGGCCTAATCCAAAACATACGCGCTCTCGCTAAACTGTACTACGACGCTGGTTATCAAGTGGATCGCTCAAGCCAGCCGTGTCCTATCTAGTTAGGTGCGCGTTCACATGAAAGGGGTGGTATTTGGAGCATTCGACCAATCTCAAACACGGACAAGCGTACTGACAGCGCAGCGTCATACTTCCTGAATGAAAAGTGAACTTTAATATTTGTCAAATATGAAGAAGTTAAACTTTAAACATCCATGACTTAAACACTTTATCCAGGATAAAAGCCACATAGCTGCACCTGCAAGGTGAATACAGCTGGTAAAAGAAAAAGTGTTTGAATGCGTACATTAACAGGTTTATGATATCACCGTCCAAGACACGAGTGGATCTGACTTTAATTAGGAGAATTTGACTCGAGTGTTTCGTCAACTTAATGTGTTGCTTAAAATAATACTTCTGCATACAGTATGTGACACTGTGAGTGTTGCACCACCAGATACGGCTCAAGAAGCTGACTAAAATAAGGAAATATATGATACATTATGATGTGATATGGTATGAATGATAATGGGACACATCGACGTCTGCACTCACAGTGCCGCGGACTGTACTTAATGTTACTCTGATCCGGTTACTTATGTCGTGGCAGATATTTAAGTAAGCTTTCTTAACGCTAATATTATAATAGTCAGATTGCTCTGAAGATGGGAGGGGATATTCTATTAATTTTCACGTTCACACAGTCAGTTGATTTTGGCCGGCCGTCTTTCCTGCAACGGCAGTTTTTCTGTATTTCCTCTATCCTGTAATATGAATTGATCGCTTTAAACTCCGCACACGGAGCTCTGATTGGTCAGCAGGCAGTGCTTTCACTGAGTTGATCTCTTAGCCTGCCACCTAACCTGCTCCGGAGCAGGTTTGCCGCTCAGCATAAGTTACCATGGAAATCTAGCCTGCTAAAAAGAGAACCAGCGTCGTAGGACCGGAAAGCCCGAGATTTCCCTGAAGTTAGCCGGCTAGGCGAAAATCCAGCTTCGTAGTATAGGCCTCTGTTCTTCTCTGTTGTTGACAATCACCAGATATGCCCCTTTTTGTCATCCCTACTCTCTTGCCAGTTTTTCCGGATAGAAGAAACTGTATAGAGACTACGGCTGAAGTACATTCATCCATTTTTTTTTCTTTTTTTTTTCAGATTTTGCATTTTATTACATCACAGTACAAACAACAGACATACAGTACACTCCCCCACCCCCCACCCACAACAGAGAGGGTGATACAAACAATAGCAAAAAACAAACAAAAACACAAACAAAAAAACACAATAAATGGTCGCTAGTGCATGGTAATAACATCAGTAACTACTGTAATACTTATGTATACATTCGAGAAATCTGTCGACGCATAAGGCATAGAGATTTGTTCAGGTTATAATGTCCTTCATTTATTAGCAGTCACAAGACTAAATAATTAGGCGCGTTCACACCAAATACTTTTCCCACAATAGTTTATGAGAACTTAAGTTCATGAGAACTCTTTTAGTTCTGATGAACTAAAGCAGATCGCGTTCACACCAAAATGAGTTCCTGGGGGTGGAGAAGGCAAATGAACCGCTGACGTCACTTCTTCTTCTTCTTCTTCTGCTTTGGGTTTACTGGCAGGCCGCAAACAACTTCACGGCGAGTACAGTAGGTGGCGGTATGCACCTTAAAGTTGCAATCCGCCAAAAAAACGAGAGAAAAAGAAGAAGAAAAACCTCCCGCGTATACTGCCGCGCCCACCTGCTGTATATGAGGCGTCTGTTTACCTTCCGACCTCAAACATGAGCTTCGTCTGAGTTATTTAAGCAAACACAAATACAGATCGTCGACCAGTCAAATGCAATAGCAATGCTGATTCGGAAGCGAAGGCGGTTAAGAAGGATTGACAATGTCACGATCTTATGAAGGACCCAAATGCAGCACTCGAGAAACCAAGGAGTATTGGTAATGTACTTTATTGGTAATACTACCAGAGCAGAGGAATACCAGCAGAACAGTATCAGCCGGATGATGTGCAGGCCGACGAACCAGAGGACAGCGGGCAGAAGGTGAGTCAGGGCCGGGCAGAGGGTCAGGGAGCAGGCGAGGCGGTCAACGTAGGTACAGGCAGGGTCAGACAGCAGGCAAGGCAGGATAGTCCAGGGACAGGCAGGATCAGGGAACAGGCAGAGCAGGCAGGTCAGGGACAGGCAGGGTCGGAACCGGGTGGGCAATCTGGTGACAAACGCGTGAAAGACTAGCATGAAGACAAAGTACGATCTGGCAATGGGTGTGTGTCTGGTGAGGGTTTAAATACTGGCAGTAAAGCTAATGGGTGCAGAAGAGAAAGAGAGTGAGCAAAAACGTGGGTGTGGTTAACAGGTGAGACAGGTGAATGGAAAACTACTGGTGAATGATGGAGCAGAACTGTGACAGACAAAAGGATTGGACGACGACATGCACGCGCTATGGATTGCGTAACCTGTGTGAAATGAATAAACTGTGCCAGGTGTGTCGTATGCACACTAATTAGGCTCAGCAGCTGACACACCTTTACTATATATCCTCCTGAGAGCAACTGCATCCGTCTGCCATGAACCCTACAGAAACCTACGTGTTAGTTTTGGCCCATAGTGGCCTCCATTTGTGTCGTGTAAAATGGGGGAAATAAAAAGTTAGCAAATCCCCATGTCATGTTCATAAAAACATTTAGTTTTAGGTCAAATAATTATTACACTGCTCTGAAACTCACTACACTAACTCCTAAGATGTTCCCTTACTATAATTAACTAAAATATTGAACTCACAACACTGGTAATTACAAACTTAACCATTTCTTTCTATAAATAAATAGTGCTTGTGTTGATGGACGCCATTTTGAAATACAATGAAATTATCTTTTTGAAAGCCACAATAAATAAAGCTTCGCCAGTTTATAACCGATGAAACATGATGGTATCAGAATAATCACTTACATGTGATGTATAGGATGCTACACAGGTCACTGTAAAGATAAAGTGTCAGAGGAGAAATAAGCAAGCTTAGTTACATGAAATGTAATGAAAAATGTAAGATACAGGCTCTGTTTATTTGCCATGTAGGTTCTCTTTTATTGCACACTCAAGACAATATCAATAACGGCATCACGCTGTCCCAGGTGTGTCGTATGCATGTAAATAGAAGTTAACATTTTCAATATAATAGAAGATAGAAAAAAAGAGCAAAACAGAAGGAAATATTGAGAGCAGCTTGTAGAAAATACAGGAGTCCAAAGCTCAAGTGTCTATTTCACTTTAACAATTGACTTTATCATTGTAAAGTCCTTCACAGCTCTCTTCAGATCATCTCTCTCCTCAGTCAGGTTTTTGCCGCTGGCCTCCAGATCTAAAACAGAATTCCCAATGTCTATTATGTTAATCTATCAATGATAATGTATGGGTCTTTGTTTCCTTTTCTTAATCTAACACCATATGATGTTTTCAGGAAATTATTTCTGCCAAACAATCCTGTTGAATGGACCAGATAAGTATTACGATATACTGTATGTTTAGTTCAGTTAAGATTATTTGTGAAGTAAAAAAAATATTGTGTTCCCTTTTTACAGCCACAAAACCAAGAGCCAAGGCGTTTTCAACAACATCTGTTTCATTTCCTCTTCTTAAATGTGTAAAATAAGCCAGAATTTATATTTAAAACGTAAAAAAGCGAACTAGCATTATCAGCAGAATGTGAATAGCCTAAAGTGTTGACGTGTCTTCAAAGACGTCTATGTGTTGTGTTGCAGAGAGATCTACGGAAATTAGCATGCTAACTGACTAGCCCCGCCTGTTTCTTGATGTTCTGAGTTTGTATCTTTATGGTTTATTGCACCTACAATATTGTATGTTGCTTGGGATAAAAGCCCCAGATAATTAAAAAATAATATATTGTTACCTTATGTGATATTTAGAAGCAAATAAGTATTATTTACCCCTTCAGATCAAACCCCTGATTATTGCAGTAGTTTCATCTCAATACTTACCAAGGTTGATTCTCTTCAACTCGTCTCGTTCTTCAGTCAGGGAGTTTTGCTCTGAAACTTCAATTTTTGTGAAGAGGTTACCAACTAAATGTGATTATGTGCCCTAATAAACATATGATTTAGTTTAAAAACGAAATGTCTGAGCTGGCTTTGTTGAAAATAAAGCACAAATTATAGTTCAGTAAAAGTAAATGTCTACAGGGATACATTTCTGGAAAGCTATCAAGGTAACAGAGTTTCATACTCAAACAACTTGTTTACCATTTGCACTTAAAGTAAGAGACACAAATTACGAAGACTTAAAAATAACAAAACGCAGGGAAATATTGAGAGCAGCTTGTCGAAAATATAGGAGCTCAATGATTCATTATAGTTGAACAGTTGACTTTATCATTGTACATACCATAGTCCTTCACAGTTCTCTTCAGCTCATCTCTCTCCTCAGTCAGGTTTTTGCTACTGGCCTCCAGATCTAAAACAGAATTCCCATTGTATATATTATTTATGTTAATCTATCAATGATAATGTATGGGTCTTTGTTTCCTTTTCTTAATCTAACACCATATGATATTTTTTCAAGGAATTATTTATATTAAACGGTCACGTTGAATGAAGAAGTCATCATTATTTTAAACAGGACCAGATGAGTTACACAGTATGTTAGTTCATTAAGTATATTTGTGAAGAATTTGTGTTCCCTCTTACAGCCTTAACACAAAGAGCTGAGGCGTTATCTACATCAGATGTATCATTTCCTCTTCTTAAAGGTGTAAAATAAGCCAAAATGTAAATGTAAAACATAAAAAAAAAATGAACTATCATCAACATAATGTGAAGAGCCAACAGTGTTGACATTACTTCAAAGACGGCGATGTTTTCTGTTTCAGAGATATCTACGGAGATTAGCATGCTAACTGACAGGCAGCGGCTAGTAAGTTAGCATGCTCACTGATCTGCATGTTTCTTGATGTTCTGAGTTTGTATCTTTATGGTTTATTGTAAGTTGCTTTGGACAAAAGCCTCATATAAATTAAATGTAATCAATTGTAATGTAAGGTGATATTTAGTACCGTACACTTCTTCAGAACAAACCCCTGATTATTGCAGTAGTTCCATCTTAATACTTACCAAAGATGATTCTCTTCAACTCGTCTCTCTCTTCAGTCAGGGAGGTTTGCTGTGAAACTGTCATTTACAGCTGAGAGGTTAACAACAAAAATGTATTATATCCAAGCTTATTTTCTTTAAAATCATCCCAGCATTACAATTATTGAGTACAAAGAATTGAATGGACATTTTCTCTGATTAAACGTGTTGAACGGGATATTGATTGAGTCAAATGTGCAAATTTGTTTGCAAAGTTTGATATACATTTAAGGGTCATATTGTTCATCCTAATGAACAGTGATATGTTTATTGAAAGAATTGAGGGCAAGTGATCCTCATATCTTGTAAGATAAACATCTAAACAAGGTCGTTAACCACTTGCACTATCTGGCTACAGAAGTGAGAGTCACAAATTAAGAAGACTTACAGAGAGTGAGACGCAGGGAAATGTTGAGAGCAGTTCTTAGTTTACTTTTGTAATATATCTTTCCCATTCAGCTATTGAGTTATCTTATTACTATTGCACTGAAACTTAATTGGCTGATGAATACATTTCTCACACTAAAGGATAACCTGTATCTCAGCTTCATTTCTGTGACAAATTCTTATTTCAAGTAAGTTATAATCATTAAAAAGTAATCCTAAGACAAAGCAAAGGTGATCTAGCATTGGACTAATCAGCCACCAAATCGGACAAAATCCTGTTTACACTGATAGAATTCAACGACTCATTTTTAAATACAATTATTTATATTGGTAAATCTTTTATCTTTATTATTGAAGATGGTATAATGTGCTATACAAGTACAAATGCTTGACAGGGTATGTAAATGCTTCCCGTTCACCATATAAGTGGGTGCTTACAGTATGTGTTTTTATGCTGAGGACACGCAGCTGTGTCTCTCTTTAAGTAACCAACATAAAATACACAATTCATAACTTCCTTATTTGATACAAAATACTCATGCTAATATGCAGACCTATTTCGAAATAAATGTTTTACTGCAGTCATCATTCCTGTTAATACAGGCTCTTTCTTCTTATAATGCATTCTATGTAAGCGATGGGGAACAAAATTCAAATTGTTTCTTCTGCAACTTCCCTTTATTTTACCCAAATAGTGTTTCTGTGCAGAGTTTCAGTTTAGGGCTGCTAACACAAAGGGGATATTAGCTGCAGAATACTAAAACTAAACTGCTAACGATAATCTTCAGGAAGAGTGTGCACTTTTCTCCCATTACTTAGTTTGAAATCACATTAGGAGGCAAGTTTTAAGGGTAATTATGAACAGGACAAACTTGTTTCAATTTACATTTACTGTAATGTCTTTCCTATGCCATTTGTCACTCACCTTGAAAGTTTTGTTAAAACCAAGCATAACAATTTACAAGCCTTGTTATAAATGTCTAATTTGTTGGAAAGAATTTCAACATATTAGCCTATAACAATAAAAGGTGAATAAAACCCTTAATATCTTGTAGAAACAAGTGGGAATCTTTTTTTGATAAATGTTATTGCAAAACCACAAATGAAGTAATATTTTACACTGCTTACATTTCATATACATTAGACCTCATAATCATGAGTTCATCCCTGATGAAACAGCATCTTTGTGTAAGAGTTTTTTCCATTATTTAATGCTGTATTTTGTGGAAAATGCCTCCTTTTAAAAAATAAGTAACACAAACATTACCACAGTTTCCATTTGAGTTATACAAGAGGTGTTATGTTATTTTAACATTAAATACAACAAAATCACATATGGGTGTCTACTGCACGGTGACGGTAAAATGATTAACAAGGCTTCTTTTTTAACACAGTGCATCAAATTACAAGTTCCCACCTTTAGATTATTTATTGGAGATAAAATAAAGAAATTAAATCAAATTATTGTGTTTACTGCTCCATACCTGACCTGCACATGAGAAAGTGCTGCAGTTTATGGTTCACTATTGTTTGTGTTGGATCTCATTAATGCTGCACTGCACATAGTCAAAGTCCATGTATTATTTAAAGGGCTTAAGTGTTTTACTGCCACCTGCTGGATGTATAAATAAATGGCGTGGGTGTTTTCAATTAAAGGTAGGGTAGGTAAGAATGGAGAACCGCAGTGACGTGTCCTAAAACCCGGAAGTAAACTTCTTCCGGATCCTTCGACAAAAATGCAATGCAAGAAATTGCATTGCATTTTTGTCGAAGGAACCCATGCGCTGCTTACTTCCGGGTTTTAGTACGCGTCACTGCGGTTCTCTATGGAAAACTAGCTCGAGTGCGCTAAAATTTGAAAGTACGCAGCCGAAAAAAATCTGCCCCTTCCTTCAGACTTCCTTACAGAGCCCCTCCTCCAACACACACGAACGCGCACATGACCGATGGAAGGCTGACAGGCAGGTAGGCCATCCAGTTATTTTAGCCGGGCCGGCTCAGATGATTGGTCGTGCTTTTTACAGCGCCACGGCTTCCACAGATGATTTTCTTTTTATGTATTTATTGTGAAATCATTTAATGTATTCATTGCTATCGGAATGTTAAGAGCATTCCCTGGAATATAACAAAAAGTGTTTCTGAAGTGAATTACCTACCCTACCTTTAACATTCTGCTTCAGTTTGAAGGTCCTGGTATCGTGCATGCTGGCTCACTGTCAGGGTGTCATGGTTTAGGAGGACACATTAATTACTACGAGTCATTTTTAAAGCTATGGTGGGTAATGTAAATATAAAAAAAGTGTAATAGTTGTTGAAATACTATTGACATCTTAACAGCAATCACAAAACCAAATGCTCTGACCAAAAGAAAGTCCTATCTACCTAATTCAAGCAATATTGTTACAGTTTGTTTGCACATGGGTGGGATATGGTTACCCCCGTCCCTCCCTGTTGCTCCAAAGTATCTGTCGCCGGATGTGAGAGACATCATTGATCTTTCCCGATTTCTGCTTGATCTCCTCTGAACTTCTTCTCAGGCAACGCTGCGACTGGTTTCTGCTGTTGAGAGTAGAGGAGACAGATTATTGATGGCATTTCTTGGCCACAGATATCTTTCTTCCTCGGCACCTAACTCTTTAAACACTGAACATTTACACTTGTAATTACCTTGAAGTTTTCTCTGAAGATCATTTATTTCACTGGTCAGGTATATGATTTGTTTCTCTCTTTCTTCAGACAGGATGTTGTATCTGGTCTGTAACTGATCCTTTTGTATTGTCAGGTTAATCTGTAACTGTTTTTTCTCACTGGTGAGGTTATTGTTACTGATCTTAAGCTGCTCTCTTTCTTCAGTCAGGATGTTGTAACTTGTCTGTAGCTGATCTTTCTGTATTGTCAGGTTGTTGTAACTGTTTTGTAACAGGGCCACCTCCATTTTCCACTCCGAGTTGCTGTTAATTACTGTGTTTGACACATAAACAAATGCATAAAGAAACACTGACAACCAGTAAACTCCTTTTGTGTTTTATAATCAAGCTAACAAAGTACTCACAAAGGTAAACCAGAGGTATGAGTCCAGTCAGAAGGAATAGACACAGCAGACGCAGAAAAACTTCAGCAGCTCTGCAGGAACTACGCTTCACCTCTTTAGCATCTGAAGGTAAAATGTAATGTTTACAATGTGCTTCTTTGTATTTCAGGTTCAAGTAAATTAAAGGATACAGAAAGTGCTTGGAAAGAGTAACCACAAGTAAAAAGGGTTTGTGAGCAAAAGTCACACCTTGACTATATTAAACTAATATAGTCTTGTCCTGTTTGTGTGCCTGTGTGTAAAACAATGTAATATGTTTATTACCTGAGGGTGCAGTTCCAGGTCTGTGTGGCCCCTGATTAAGGATAGACAAATATTCATAAATATTTTCTGTTCATTTTGTCTCCCTTTTGCTCCGGCTGTGGTAAACCGATAATTCCTCTACATTCATATAGATGGACATTTCCAGTGGCGACTGGTCATTAGGGGCAGGTGGGGCACAGCCCCACCTAGTGTCAGCAGAAAGTATTACAAATAATGATTACAAAAATGCAAAAAAATAAATAAAAAAATATATAAAATATATTTTAAGATCATGTTTAATCATCTGATTCGTCTGTACATTGCTGTTTTAGTCTGTGTTCTTCTAATTAGTGTGTCTACAGTCACAGTGTGTGCCTATTGAGCTGTTTAGAGCCATGTGGGACAAAACCTGATTATGCCCCTTCCTCTCGCTGTGAAGTCAACGGTGACTGTAAAAACTTCACTGCGCATGCTCAGAGTATTTTGTAATGAAATGTGTGTGGCAAAAAAATAATGACCAGAGGGGCATGGAGCTACCATCCCCACCATACGTCATCTCAAATCATTCAGAGCTGATTGGCTGTAAGTACGTGTGCCGCGAAAAG